AAATGTGCTTCTATCTATCTATCTAATCTATCTATCTATCTATCTATCTATCTATCTATCTATCTATCTATCTCATGTTTTGTCCTTCTTAGGAATGAACTAGCAGACTTTAAAGCAATAAGGATATAGCACTAAATAGCAAATAACTTCACAATAATTGTGCCTCTGTGCACTTCAAAGTGTTTTGCACACCGAGGTGTAATCTTATCATTTATTTTAAAATGTCAGTATTTTTTTTTTCTTCTTGACCACAGGTGAAACCTGATGTAATGTTCTCGGGTGTCTTGCATGACATTCTTGAGAAATTTAACACCTTTTGTTTTGACACACCTGTTCTGCCGCTTATTATCTCAGTATGACCACAAATGGCCAAAAAGACAGAACCAGCAAAGAGGCAGGTGAGAAACCTACGTTGTTTTTTCTCTTTTTTTCTCTTTTTTTTCTGCTGCTGCGTGTTAACAATGTGTCATCGCTGTTGTTGTGTGTTGTGATGATTTCCTCTGAACATGTTGTGCTTTAGGCAGTAGAAATCCCTCAGGTGCTGTCCCTGTCGCTGCCTCACTATGTTGATCCCGGATCGGCCTTTTCATACCCCCACAGCTACCACAGCTTGGGCCACTGTCTCCGCAGAAACATATTTCCAGGTCTGTACATCAGCATCCAGTCTCTGCTTACACTCTAATTCCCAGTGGATCTCTAGCAGCTGAGACACTTTTATTTTATGTCTTGTATTTGCTGTAAGACCAACTGCTGAAAAAAAGACTCAGGATCAGGTCATGCAGCTTTGCAAATTTGTTTTTAAATGACTGGCAGTTAATTGGTTCACAGCGAGCTTTGGTCCACGAGGTATTCCAATATCAGGCGACTGATGGTTTCGGAAGCATTAGGATTACCATGGGTCTATGGGTGTGGTTGGTCTTCAGCTGAGAAGATGTGTCCAGAGTACCGCTTCTGTGACATATTGATTAACATTCAATACACTGCTGTCAGTAATGCATTGTTAGACATGACAGTAACATTATTTTACAGGCAGTGGCCACAGGGAAAACAATGATAGTAAATCAAGGGGACTCTTGCGTAGTTGAAACACAATCTGTCTTATCCTGTTGAATAATTCAGCTGTGAGTGTTGCCATGTGCACTCCTACACACTGCGGCTGTGTGACACCCCTAACTTACTCTCACTCATTCACTCTATGCTTGTATGCCAGGTATGGTACAGTGTTTGGCTGGCACCTAAAGTAAGAAAATGTACATTTAGAAAGAAGAAGTAACACTTCCTCATGATGTTTGATGGATTGTTATGTAACTAACCAGAGCGCTCGCTCCCATTTGGGATATTTAGCCACACTAGCATTGACCTGCCGGTCGTACAAACTCTATTGGTTACCTTTTCATCGAAACGTTAAAAGGTCAAGTGGTGATGATGATGGTGAATGTGGTAAACATTATACTTGCTGAACATCAGTATGTTAGGTATGACATATTGAGCATGTTTCATTTTTCACACCTTTAATTCAACACACTGTCAATAGGTGCTTCTTTCACGGGGAAATCCCACACCAGGGACTCCTACATCAGCCCCCCTCTGACTGCTTGGCCTGCCGACCCTCATCTCTGGTACGGCCACAAGACTGATGAAATGGGTAGGTGCTCTCCTTTCCTCCTGTCTCTCTCTCTCTCTGTTTCTCTTTCATTGTTCTGGTCTGATGTATTTTTGATATCTTCATGCCTTTTCTTTTCTTTGCCTCTTTTGCAGTCCAATGGACAGAGAGAAATATCATGAACCAGAAACTCAACAAGATACTGAAGCAAATGGAAAAAAATGGCACCACAAAATGAGGTCCTGCGAGACCACAACACACATTACGCCCTCTTCATTCACACCTCGGGTTCCTTTGGAAATGCAAAACTAAAGTGTGATTTGTAACCATACCTGTTGTAAGCTTGCTTGCTTAACAATAAACAAACAAGATGAAGGGTAGAGATGAAATACCACTAAAAATGATATTGGTCAGATAAAACATTTCTGTGCTCTCTTTGGTTTGGGCTAAACCAAACTGTAATCAGGCTGGTAACTATATAAACACTTTCAAATGTGCAAAGGAAATTAGTAATGTTCGGTAACCTTGACTCACTGTGTTTAATTGACTAAAAGAGATGCTTTTTTTTCTCCTTTTACGTCAAGATGAGTGCTGTCTAACCTTTAGGGCACAGATAACACACAAAAGTCCCTACTCAGACTAAAACTAAAGGACCTAAACCGCTGAATGCTACCAGCAGCCAGCTGAATTTATGTCTCTGCATGTGATCTATAAAGGCAGCAGAATGAAGGTGGTTTCAGCAGAAACCACTGAAACTTGCTTTTTGTCACTACCTGCTGCCTCCCCTATCAAGTCAGACTTATATAGAATGAGTATCTGTTGAAGCCTAACCTGATCCGGTCTACATTCAGGGAGTTTGACTGTTTGAAGTTACTTACAATGATTCAACAACGCACAATAAACTGTCCAAATAAAGTCCAGCTGAGGTGCAGCACTGATCTACAGATAGTTCTGACTTCTTGTTTGAATTCATCACATGAAGCTTATGTTAGGTGTTTAAGTTTAAAGCACTTCTCATGTCAAATGATCTATAAAGAGGTATTGATGAATAATTAAATAATCAACAGCATTATAATCAATTTTCCTGTTACATTGTATTTCTCAGCTCAAAATATCAACCCTGCACTGCCTAAAGTAACAATGAATCAATAAATTACATCTTTGCTAGCCTCAGTTTAGCAAAGAATATGTGGGTATGACAGTTTACACATATAATGTACGTATTAACCTTCAGAGGGTCAAAATTAAAACATTTTAACAACTTTATGACTATAATGTGCATCAGCCTCAACCGTACTTTGTATTTTGTGCCTATTACCAAATGTTCACATGCTAAAAAGCTAAACTAAAAAGGTCAGCGTCGTAAACATTATAACTGATCAACATCAGCATGTTAGCATTGGCATTGTTAAGGCCTAACAGTGCCCGTTAGCCTGCTCAAATAAGCATTTACATCAAAACAAATTTGTGCAGCCACATGTACAGCCTCGCTAGTACGGCTGAGGACACACTAGGTCATGTGTTAGGTACTGGCACTGTATGTGAATCATAGCGTATGTTAATGTACAGCCCTTTTGCATCACAGGATATCGAGCTTAGTCAACTCTGGCCACTACTTACAGGAATTGTACATATTTTATTAGATGTGTCAAAGAGCAGGTATTGTCTTAAGTTTCTAACAGTTTTTTAATTGTGATACTTCTGCCAAAGACATGCATTATGTTTTTTTAGAGAGCTACAGGTTTTGCAGAATGAATGTGCCCTCCTGTGTTACTGTTCTCACCTCCTCCCCACTGAGCCCCCCCTCCCCCTGTCTTTGTGGTCTGTTGATGGAGACTGTTTTCTGGTTGCCTTCCGAGCACAAACACACACTATGGTCTTTTTTAGCAGCTTCCCCCCTCAGGCGCGGCGGACTTTGACCTTTCAGTGAGAGCTGTATATGCTCTTCGTCTTCCTCTGCACACTTCAACCCTCCTCTCTGCCCTTCTCTCTCTCTTTACCACTGCTAGCTGATGCTGACACCTAAGTAACTGCAGGAACTAAGGGGGGTGTATCAGATCACCCTCTGGCCTACTGCAGGCCTGAACCCACTCAGGCACCCAAACCAGGCGGCTGCTGACTGCTGAGTTCAAACATATTGTTGCAACAGTTGTTGTTTGCGTGACTGCTTTGTGGTTTGTAGATCTATATACAGCGTAGATGAGTGTTGTGCAATGGCCTTCCTTTCATTGAACTTTAAGACTGAGTTGAACACAATGAGCTTAGCTATTGTATTTTACACTTACTGCACTCACAGTTTGGCGTTTGAGTGTAATTGGGTCAAAATATACTCTTACAAATGTTTCTCTGTCCAAACAAACACAGGATACACAAAGCAGCCAAAGTAAGTTCGGCCTAAGAGTCCCCCTCATGTCTCAAGCCTGAAGCTTAATATGTGGATTAACAACAATTCTTCCATAGACCAAATCACACACTAGTAATGGGTTTAGCATTTGCAAAAACAATGGCAAACATAACAAATGAAAGTTCTTCTCCACCGGGGATGACCTTCAGCAAAGGGCCACACGCTAGAATCCAACCTGAGCTGCTGCAGTAGGTACAGGTGAGCCACCAGGGCGGCCTTTTGATGGAAATATTCAATCTTTTGGTTGTTTTTACTGGAGCTCTTGCAAGGAAAGGGTTAAATAAAACATCAATCTGTGGTCATTTTTTATACGACCCCGTATGTATTAATCCCGTCTCATGGCAACGGACACAGAAATTGAATGTCCGGTGACCTTTGAGTGTAGAACACGCTGCCGCTTTAACTTTCAACCTCTTTTCCTCTTTCGCCTATATAGAGGCAGAGTAGTAAATATACATCTCTGCAGTGGTTGCGGCTGTAACAGCAGCGGTTTGACGCTGTACAACTTTTTTGTTGTGTGTATGTTTGCATCTTAAATAACCCCATGGTTCTATATCTGGTAGCTTTAGCCTCTTTAATCCTCCGAATCTTCATTTTAAGCTGTCTTTCATTGATATAAACCACTTCATAGGACAACGTGTGTGTTCCTCTTTATACAACCCACTTTACGTTGTGATTGAAACCGGATGTGGTGTGCTTTGTATTTCTTGTTTTCAGTGCAATTATCTTAAAAGCTGTGTTGAGGTCCAGGTAGCTGCTGCTGCTTGTGAGCAGGAGGAGGTGCTCTACTCTTACAACAACCCCCCTGAGCCCCACTCCTCCTCCTCCCCTCTCTCACTATCACACACGCAGCATGAGGCTTCCTGTAAGCCCCAGACACAGGCTGTGGTTTCAAGTGGAAAATGTCACTGGGCACTATAAAGAAGAGAGGTGTGCGAATAAGGAGACAGAGGGATGAGTGACAGAAAGAGAGAGAGGGAGGGAGTGAGGGAGATTGCATAAGAGAGCGAGATAGAGATGTGCGAGTAGAAAGCAAGAGGGACAGAAAGAGACAGAAGAGAGAGGAAATCTTCTGAAATCGTCAGTCCAGTAAAAGGAAACGACAATGTGTTTTCTCTCTGGGACCCCCTGCTACCCTTAACAACCAAGACTCATGAGGTAATGTATCACTTATTTTTACTGATGATTTTCAAAAATAACTTTATAAAGTAATAATGTGTATATAAATTCTGCTATTATAAATAAAGTGTAGCATCATTTTGAACAGTCGCACTGGCTGTTGCATTTAATGTATGATATAATGTAGGTTTCCTGACCGGT